TAAATTCTATAGTAATTATATTTATACAATTCATAAAAGTTTATTTAATGTGATGAAGTAACTCTTCTGTCTCCTCATAAGACAATGGGAGAAGCCATTGTAAAAGTGTATTTTTTAACTGTCTGGTATTCAAAGGATATATATTAATAAATCTATTGACATAATTATAAAGAAATGGACCCAGAAATGGAAGGAATCTATGGCTAAAGGATTTACGAAAAAGTCGACCCTTGACTATTCGTCTATTACGAAATTTGGCAACAACAGGATCAAATGCTGTCTTAGAGTGTTGGTGCAACAGCGTGTACAAAATGAATAGTTTCCGTACGGACAAAACTTCGCACTTAACTGAATAGAGGGCATCTGTTGGAAATAGAAATGATTTGAAGGTAGCTACTTTAAGTACAGCACGTTGGGCACGTTCCAGTATAATGATACTAGATTTGGGAGCACCACCCCATGATGTGATACAATAAAGGATCAGAGATTGACAAAGGGAAAAGTAAACAGATCTAAGTAGCGATGGTTCAGTTATTGACCTAAGAGACTTAAAAACATAAATGAGTTTACGCAATCTCGCAGATAGAATATTGAAGTGTGGCTTAAAGGAGAGGTTGCTATCTATCAGTATTCCAAGGTATTTGATTTCATTTACTCTTTCAATGGAGGAACATCTGCAGAAGTTATTGTTTGGACAGCTATGCGCAATAAGTAAAGGGATATCTTTAGTTGGAAGGTCGGTTGGTCTTATGGTATGAATTAAATATTTAGTCTTGCTTACATTTAACGTTAAATGGTTGTTAGTGAACCACTCGCAAACTGTATTAAATCCTGATTGTGCATTTTGGAATACCTCCGACCAAGAGTTACCAGAAAAGAAAAGTGCTGTATCATCGGCGTACGAAAAAAGTGAGCATTTGCGGATATTGAGTGAACATAGGTCATTTACATAAATTAGAAAAAGTGTGGGCCCAAGAATACTGCCCTGTGGCACACCATATTCAACCCGCATCTCGAAACTACACATGCCATCAATTTTAGTAGATTGCACTCGATCTGATAAGTAGTCCTGGAAGAGGGTAAGTTGGTTTCCTCGTATGCCAAGTGCTTCCATCTTTTCTAATAGAATTGGAATTGAGACAGAGTCAAAGGCCTTAGCAACATCAATGAATATAGTTAGGCCTTTTTTACCCTTATCTAAACAATCGACTATATTAGAAGTTAGTTCAAGTACTGCGTGAGAGGTTGATCTTCCAGTTCGGAACCCAAATTGATTCTGACTCAGGATGTTTTTAGTTTCAAGATACTTCTTAAGGCGGTTATTTAACACTCTTTCGAATATCTTAGACAAGGAGGGGAGTATGGATATCGGGCGATAGTTTTCAACACGGTAACGGTCCCCTACTCCTTTAAATATCGGATGAATTATGGCACTTTTAAAGGCTTTTGGAAAAATACCCTGTGAAATGCAAAGGTTGAAGATATGAGTGAGCAAGGGAACTAGTATTTTTCTATTATTTTTAATAATTAAAGATGAAATACCATCCCAACCCACAGCACAATCAGATTTAAGATCACAAATAATTTGATTTATTTCTTCTTCATTTGGGTACAATAAAACAAATGAATCAGGATTTTCAGGAGAGAATGTGGCATAGTTACAGTTCGAATGTCCGTATGAGGAAATTTTTTGGCGAGATTTGCACCGACATTGATATAGTAGTTATTAATATCATTAAGCGCTTTCACAGGAAGAGAATGTTGAGCTAAAAGAATATTTGAGGCTAAGATCTTATTAATCTCATTGGTTGACAAGATACGGACAAAGTTCTTCTGAGGAAGCTCTATGATTCCACTTAGGAACTTTCTTCTTTGCTGATATATGCTTTTTCTATATTTTAAGTCAGATAAGTTTTTTTTTCTATTATTAGAGTGATGGATATGCAATCCAATATATTTAATTTCATTTAATGTAAAAGTTAATGCTTTACTGTATTATAGCTGTCGGGAAAAGCTTTGTAATTATCAAACACACTTGTTAGTAAAGGCTTGTACTTGACGGTCTCTACCATTGTAGTCGTAAATCAAAATCTCCTAAAATTGGGTTCAACCCGCTTCCTTCATCATACTAGAGATTGGACGTGAGTTTATCTTAACAATATCAGGTTACTACAAAAGGTACGCCATTTTGAGCTTAAATCGGTTCATAGTATTTCCAAAGGCCTTCTGGTAAACACTTTTCTTTGTTGGTACTAGTGCCAATTTAGTTGTATAAATCTCTAAACTAGAAAGAAATTTAATTAAGGTTATTTAGTAATTTATTTCATCAAATAAATACATTTTTATTCTTATTCCTACCTGTCAATGATATTACAATACAAAAGGGTAGATAGGTTACTTACATTCAAAAAGTAGCACTTTAAAACTATGCTAATTAGCATACCTGAGCGCAGTCTGGCGAAAGCGTTGATTGTGTGCGATTATATACCATATTCATTTTTAAAATGTCATCCTGTGTTATGCGAAACTGTAGAAACTACATAAGTAAGTCGACTAAAGATCAAAAGATCTCATTTCATTAGTAAGTATGCATTTATAATTGAATTACGTTGAAATTAGAAAAATAAATATTGTGTCATAAAAAGAAAGAGTAAATAACCCGGTTACAAATTGTGAAAGAGACATGTCAAAGATTATGTAAGTAACAAAACGGACAATTCGAGTTTAGAGCCTAAGCCCTACCTTACATTTATTTGAAAACCTGTATGTGGCTGAAACTACGAAACTCACGGTTTTGAATTCGGAGTATCGAAATCTAACTCCGGAGCTAAAAACACTCCGATTCCAATTTCGATCGAAGCTTTCGTGTTATTATACATATTATATATCAGTGCCAAACACTCCGATTCCGATTAAAGCCCTCGTGTTATTGTATATATTATATATCAGTGACAGGTTAGTATTATCGCTTGAAAAACTTCATTATTTAATCACGGGCAAATAATATATACACTAACGACAAGGAGAAATAGTAGAGTAATGTGAAACATCAACATTTTTAAGTTGAACTGTTGTTGTTAAAACTAATAAATGATTTTCGGTCTGGTCTGTCACATTTTCAATTATTGTCTATGAATAATTGGAAAGTATCGTAGCATGTGCGTGGGTGTATGCTGGATAAAATTTTTGACATCGTTTTAGTACTGACAATTATCTACCTTTTTTATTGTAATATCTTTGCTAACTATAACTTAATAAGTTTTATTCTGATAACTTAGTTAAATTTTACGTCTGGTCTATGACATTTTCAATTACAGTCTATGAATAATTGGAAAGTATCGTAGCATGTGCGTGGGTGTATGCTGGGGACAATTTTTGACATCGTTTTAGTACTGGCAACTATCTTCCCCTTTTTTATAAAGGGTAGTAATTTTTTATAACGTAGTTAAATAATTAAAAAAGCAGTTTGACATGGTATAAAATAAATTTACTACTTTGCGCAACCGTAATACTGAGAAAAAATAATTAACTCTAGTTTAGGAAACAGTATATCAATGTTATTGCACAAACCAGACTAGTTATTGCACAAATATGATATGCATTTAATATTAGCGACAAAGATTGTACCGATTAAAATTATTCAAAACATTATTTAATCCTGCGTAAACGGCTTAAATCAATTTAATAATGGATTTGGACATGTAAAATAATGAGAATGACAAATTGAATTGTAAACAACGATTACTATGGTGACAATTTAATGCCATATACGAATTTCCACTCCCATTTTCATCCTTTCATCCCGAAAAAAGCACAAAAAAGGATGAAAATGGGAGTAGAAAAATTTAAGATAGACATATTACACCGTGGCCCTTTTTTTAGAACTTTTAAAAAGGATACATTTCATAATACATGATTTTTGCGTATCTTACACCGTTTAAAAAGCGCACGCAAGGAAAGCTTTAAGAAAGTAAGACATCCCGTTTTTGTAACATTTTCCATTCCTGCGCCACTCCTATAAGTCATAGCGAGATGTTACATATATAGCCATCCTCGATAAGTAGACTATTGAACACAAAAACAATAACTCAATTCGTTACCGTAGTTCTTGAGATTTTAGGGTTCAATCAAACAAACCAACAAACTTTTCAGCCTTATTCTTAGTATAGTATAATAATAATCTTTGAGTAATTCAACCAGATGCATAAAAAATATGATCTTAATTGGATTTTTTTAAATTTATAGTTACTATAAAAAATGTGACAAACAAAATTTGCTTAAGAGGAAATTTCCGAAACTAGCTTATGCTTGAATAAATTTTATTAATTAGAAATTTAGTTTTGCCATTCATTTGGTCGTAAAAATAAACACGCCAATGTATTAAGAATTTTAATGAGTTAATTACCTTTATGTAGGATATTAAAAGCATGTTTAAATTAATGGGGCTAGTGTAGTGTATTCATCAGTGACACGATGAGTTGGCTGCTATGGAATGCACTTTTGTATCAAAAAAATACCAGGAATTCGTAAACGACTAAATTTGTGTTCTGATTAAAAAAACAAATTGGATGTAGGTATTTTTACTTAGTTCAGGTGTTGGCTAATTTGTAACGAAGTTTAGTATCAAAAGAACTTCCTTATATATTATATTTTTAATTTATTTAACTTGTTCTTCAGTTTCAAAACATATTACAGACAAGAAATAAATAAGAAACCATAAAGAAACCACATTTATTTAATTTTAAAAAGTTGTTTCGCAGCAAAATAAATTAGTTTAGGTAAAAACGTATCCGATTATCGCTGATGTTGATAAATAAAATAAACATCAGCATCAGTTTCATCACTCTAACCAGACTAATAAGAACCAGATCATTTCCCTTCAGTTTCCAAGTTGCTTCCACGAGTAAGGTCAACCTTTGGGACCGGACGTGATTTAAATACATTAATAATTTAAATCGTTACAAGAATTTTCCACGGGTTAATCTTCAATTTTATTCCAGGTTCTTAGCAAACCGTAAGAAAGGCAGGTCTCTTTCGGCGAACGCGGTAGCGAACGAGCAAAAAGCAACCAAAGTGCTCGGTTTGGTCTTCTTCACGTTCGTGTTATGCTGGGCTCCGTTCTTTCTACTGAACATGCTGTTTGCGTCATGTCCTGCATGTATAGTGCCAGGTAAAGTGACTTATCTATAATATATAAATCTTTTTCTCTTATACAGTAGAATAGATTGATATGTCTTCATAGCAGCTAGTAATCGGTGCAATCATATGATACGCAACGTATAACAATATATTTTCGTCTGGTCCTTCTGATATCTGGAAGTTTCTTGTAATTCTAGATATCGGTAAAACACGTCACACAGAATTTTGATCGAAATAAATTATCTCAATCGACACTTTTCAACTACTTCGAAGCTGGATCGTGTAACTACTGCATGTACCATTGCTTCTGTCTTTGATTTACCACGTCTTAACATCTCTCCTTTTCATTCTTCACCAGGTAAGTCGTCAGATATCAAAAAATCATCCTTTCCGTTAAATCCAATGCTGTGGGTGCGATAATATTATTTGCCGTATGACAGTTTTAATCTTGGATTACATCTTCCCTGCAGTTACACATATTGCAAATTTCTCCCTTATTTCGGCAGTTTTCCCAATCCTTTAAAGACTGTAAAGGGGTAAAGCCTATGTCCCTCTTCTTAAAGTTCCTAATCCAACGCATACTAACCAATTCCGTTCAATCTCTATTCTTCCCTTCTTATCCAAAGTGATTGAGGCTTATGTTCAACGACAGTTTTTTCAATTTATTCACCAAAATCATCATTAAAGTCTCTTCGATCGGGTTTTAGATCAGGGCATAGCACAGTTTCAGCTCTTCTTAAGGTGACTGGCGATATAAGGGTGGCTATGGAAAATGGTAAAATAACTTGTTTGGTTCTTATCAATTTCTCCAATGCTTTTAATACTATCAGTCATGATATCCTTCTCCTATCCTTCCTTACATTTTGGTTTCTGTAGATGCATTAAGGAGATTTTTGTCCTATCTTCAGGAACGGGAGCAGACAGTCCAATCTGGAGAATCTTCATCATCATGGTGTAACTTAGAAACTGGTGTTCCTCAAGGCAGCATCATTTCTCCTCTTCTTTTTTATTAATTTTATCACTTCTCACCTTCACTGTTCATATCATCTTTACGCCGATGACTAACAGTTATATACTTCGGCAAGTGCTGATGAATTAAATGATGCAATTGATGCTCTAAACAAAACCGTGGCCGTTATTAAGTCCTGCAGGGCGATTCTGTAAAAATCCAGACCTGAATTTGAATTAACTCATATGAGTTAATTCAAATTCGACATTTGTGCGAATTCACGTTATTTAGTAATATAGAATTTTTATTGATTCTATTTTTTGTATAAAAATACAAAACAAAGTTGATTGACATAAGAATCAGTCTACCAGTATAAACATATTTAATTTTAATCTTATCTAGTTGTCATATTGTTTGTCTTTGTAATTCTAAGTTGCTAATAAATGTTAATTGTTTATCTTGGAATTTGCCATCTCTTAGACAACACCTCCGTTTTTCATAACTGCTATTCATTCTTCTCCATCCAATGGTTATCTGGTAGAAGTCGCTCTTAGCGATAACACTGCCAATTGCTACACTACCGTGTTATGTTTGATTTCATAATTTCATGTACTGTTAAAAATGGTGTGACAATAAAGTATTATTATTTGTGATTGTGCACCTTATCTCTTATTTAACTCCACATTACCCTAAGGTTGACTAGTAGAAAATACCTTAGGCATTAGTTCGTCTTGTAGGTTTGTAAAAAAGTGTTAAATAAATAAATACATTGATTACACCAGAAGACGGCGTAAGGAAGCCAAACATGTATAAATTAATCATGCAACCATTCTCAGATGAAAGTAACTTGTTAGTCGGTTCTGAATCAATCTGGAATAGTCTGGGTATTTGGCCATCACAATGTCCCGTCACGCTACCTAGCGTCTTTTTTAAGAAAGTCAACATTGTTCGCTGCGACACAAGCTAACGAAGATATATGACTTTTTATTGGTCAATACTGAATTAGCTACGCAGAATAAACGTATATCAACTTGCAGATTTGTAATGGTTGTTGTATTTTGCACTGTCATTTGATTAAAGAGCACAAACTGACGCTATTTTGTTTGGTAGATGAGCTTCTGAAAATAGTAGTGTAGTCAAGATTTACAAACCTGTCTCAGATGGCATATGCCCGAATAGGCATTGAGTCGCACCAACTCCACGAGTCCTGGTTGGTGAAACCGTGTAAATTATATTAACTAATATATATATTAATGCTGTTCCTTTCCGTAAGTGTAATCGTTTTTAGAATTCGTCCAGTTTCGAGTCTATACAATGCAAACAAACAAACAATCAAATCTTTCCTCTTTACACATGGCGACATTAAAACCGGCATGCGAGCCTCGATCACGGACGACCATAATGTAACGGTGAAAAAATACTTCCACTTATAAAATACTGGATTTTGTCCTGAAAACGTACTTCCACTTATAAAATACTGGATTTGCACGCGATTTCGTGTGCGTGGTATAATTACTTTGGACACCATTTTCAAAAACCTAGAACGTTTATATCACGAGCTCTTGTACTACATTTCCATAGAGTTATTAAGTGTTAGTGTTATTATGTTTGATCAATTTTGAATTTACAATGCTATACAAAGTGAACTATTACTGAAACAAAGTAGATTTTTTTTTTTTTTTATAAAATGGAGGGCAAATGACTGCGCTCCACCTGATGGTAAGCGGAGGCGCAGTCCAAACGCGAGGACAGCTAGTGAAAACAGTACGTAGGTACTGCACTAGTCAACCTCACCTTGCCGACCTGCAAGGTGCTTCTTCACGCCCCGCTTGAAGGACCCCATGTCATAGGAAGGAGGGAATACATGGGCCGGGAGACAATTTCATTTTTTGGAAGTTCGAGAAAGAAATGAGTCGCCAAATTTGTTTGGATGTTTTGCCCGAACATTGATGAAAATACACTTTGTAGTAGTGAAAAAGTAACAAGTGCTTGAAAGAGTCGTCAGTCCTGTTAGGTCCTGGGTAGCTCAATGGAGTCACCTGGATTACAAAAGGTCATCGGTTCGGGTTCCATCTCCAGAGTGCCAGGGACAAAATGGATTTTTTAAGCATTTTTCATTAATAATATTTTTAAGTATAAGTGTTATTAAAAAGCTGATATTTTGATAGTTCATCGATACAGTTACTGATATTTGCAGCCACATTGTCTTAAAATACGAAGGGATCAAGATTTCGATCAATCAACTTGGTGAACGGAGGTGAACCAATCTCTCGGGAAATTTATTCGATTTAAGGAACCCCGGCGTTCATTTAGACCGACCAAAAACACGGATATAAATAATAACACACAGCGATTTATTCATTTGCTTAGGACTCCATACTGATGTTATGGTGGATTTATTTACATATACATTGTAAACAACGTTGTAATTAAAAGCTCACGTTAACGGTTGTATCATGAAAATGTAATAAAAAGTTTGTTTTATAATGAAATGTAAATATAAATATGATTTAGAATTGTCGGAATTTATGTTTTGAAAACTCTCTTTGTTTTATATATTTTAGCTTAATTTTGCCTTCAAGCGACCTGTTATTGTTTAATATATACACTGGCTGAAAACAACAAATTGACAAATTACACTATACTGTTATTAGTTTAGTATTTTGAAAGTAGATATCTTCATAGTGATACGTACAGTTCAATTAATATAAGACTATACAAAACTGTCAAATTTCCCCATTCGATTTCATACTTTAATATATTAAGGTCAAAATTCATTGCAGAAATTTGTCATATTTTAGTAACATGACATGCAGCCATAGGTGTGTACCACGAATTGTATCTCTATGTATATATTTTTAAATAAAACCAACTACAAAAACATGACAAATAATGTCCAACATAAATGCGGTTTGTATTTTCATAATTCAAAGATTTTGAAGTCCCACTTTTATTATAAAAAAATATATAATAGTTTTAGTTATATTAACAATTTTCTTGCTAAAAATATTTATAGAGAAGCTAAATAGGATTTAGTCGATAACATAAGTATGTCGTCTTAAGTACGATATTTTTGTTATTTGGCAGAATCTAAAGCCGAGCTTTCTAATAAAAAAAAGAACACATACCCGTCCTTCGATCATAGAACTACCACATTTTCGATTTTCAAGTCGGTTAAAACTGTATATCGGGGATAAATTAAGTTTGACATTAAATCTTTAATAAAAAAAATATATTATGCAGTATGTGAGCACCCTGTTTTTACAGCGTTAAAGAAAAAAATTGTAAATCAATCGTACCATAACACAATTCCTATAAATTATGATGGATGTTCTTTTTTACGGGAAGAATATTCGAGAAGCATTTGTCTTATATTAATATTGAATAAGAATTGTTTGTATGATACTTAACGAAATTACAGTGAAAAGGAAAAATAATATGAGGTCTTGTTCTTTAAAAGTAAGTTTGGTATGCAATAGCAACTTTCCTAGTTAAATGTCAATGTTTATATGCGTTTAGAAATAGGAGATTACTTTAAATTTATAAATCCCCAGAAAACAATGTTGTGCAACTTCCGCAAAGGCCGGCGACCAAATGTGTGGCTAAACATGTGTCATCTCGATCATAGCATATGCAATTGTTATGACCCACCAATCATATAGGTCCCGAATGATAGGTTATAAGTCACTGTCCTTCCATAGGGAAGGTCTGCATATTTCAGTCGGGTCAATTTGGTTCCATTCGTAGGTAAGGTCTGTGCCCCAGTAGTAGGGAGATTGATAAGATGGTCGTTTGATTTGATTATTAATGTGAAAGAAACTCTGTTATAGTTTTTCATCACTTAACCAATTTTAAAATAAATTTGGTAAAGAGACAGAGAATTTTCACCTTGGGAATAATAATATTAATAACCGGCTGAGTGAGAAAAAGAAAAATAATAATAATTCCATTATTATTGGAAACTAACTAGCTTCAAGCTGAGAAATAAAGTGTTAAGAATATTTATAATAACATTAATTTCCCGAAATATGGTAAAGTACATTCTGTTGTCTGGATTACAATATTCAGCATATTCTACTGTCATTAGTGCGGAAATATTAAATCTTAATTTAAATAACAAATAGTTATAACAATGACCAGATCTAGTTATCAGATGAATTAATAAAATTAAGCGAATTAATAAAATTATTTACGGAAAGGAAAGGACTCTATAATCATAAAAGGCGTTGTGATAGGAAATGAAAGTTGGTATAGACAGTCGCGGGAAATGCTAGTAAGCTGGAGAAAGTAATAGTTAAATAAATATTGCCTTAAGGCCTTTTGTATTTCCGCTTACGTTTCCATACAAATTTGCAACGAGAGTAAAGACGCGCTCACTTGATTTCATACGAGTACATTTTAATCACGGAAAAGAATAAGTTTTGTTGGTATACTTAAGATTATAACAAAACTTATTTTTGTAAATATTTTTTAAATAGTTAAGATTAAATATATTAGTGGTAAAATCGACTTATAAACCTATTAAGAATACAACCCCTGTTTACGATTATTTTTCTATCGAACCAATAATTGAAATCTATGAAAGATGCTTAACAATCACTTGGTCACTTGGTTCATTAAGAATATTTTGTTTCTGTTTTTAACAAACAATCAAGCATATGTTTATTTTCATCAAATGATTTTCGTTTGGTACATATAAGCACCTTCGAATAACATTGGTTTTAAAAGTGGTAGTTTCGTACAACCTCTCTTTAAGCCTCGTTTTATAACCAGTGATCTTTCTCTAACCAACAGGACTTCGTCAAGTTGTTATAATATATTTATTGTATTTGTTGACAGAGCACGTGGTGGACATTTGCCTGTGGCTGGGCTACGTATCATCAACTATCAACCCCATCATTTACACAGTTTTCAACAGAACCTTCAGAGGGGCCTTCTTGAGGCTATTGAGGTGCCATTGCAACAGGTAATACTGAATGAAGTGTTCTTATTGGCTAACGATCGTACGATATCCTTCATGCAATGCTTTTCGTCACTGTTGAATATACATCAGAACACACACCAATCGATACTATACACTTCGCTTTTAAAGTTTTTTTTTGTTTGTTTTGAATATGTAAATGAATACACCGTTTTAATATGCATCTCAATAACGTAGTTGTTCACATAAAAAATACTACTTTCGATTATTTTCTTTTCTTATAAAATTTAATTAACTGTTCATTCGCTAGATGGAGCTAAATTGGTAGTTTATGGAAGCTATTACTAAGATAGGTATTTCCACTTAGTGCACTTTTGTCTTGTTCCTAATCGATGAAAGCTTGTTTTAAATTACTTTAATTAAAAGAAATGCTTTTAGTTCTTATATAATTTGTCTCTGGGTTTACTAATTTAACTTGTGTATTTTATTTTTAATTGATAATTAAAAATAAAGTTTTTGTTTCGTGCTTCAGCTCATATTTATTTATTGAACGATTGAATATTAAAAACTGGTAATGAGTCGTAATATTTTCTTATAAAATTTACAGGACTTTTATCTTTATTTCTATAATTTCCATAACATTTGTACTCGTAATATTTAACCTTATTATTTGAAAGTAATGATTTAAGTGTACCGGAGTATAATCGACAGCAAGCACAGAGGACTGTAGATCGCTTAATAATATAACTTTTAACACAGAGAAAGATTTCTTGATTTCCAACGTACAAAAGCAAGATACATTGAGAATACATTGACAAAGTCAAAAAGTAAAAAAAATATAAATTAAAAATAAGTATAAAAACCTCCTTAAAGAGGCCAGTAATAATATATCAAAAACAGGCTGTCGGCAACACGGAGTATTATAGCCGTATCGTTACCGAATCGCTTGTAATCAAAAGAAATGAAGACTTAAAATAATAAATAAGTAATAATAATAAATAATGTTAACAAAATTATCTGGACAAACGAAGTACTTTTCCTACTTTTCTTAAACAAGTATTTTTTATAGTAGAATTCGATAGACGTTTTTACAATAATCGTAATAAATGAGCAATTTATTGTTTATTATTTTTGCTTTGTTTCGTGTAATATTTCGTTACTTACGCGTGTATCTGTAGTAGGAGACGAAGTTAAGAGATTTATTAGACACCAAAGAAAATCTTTCCAATCATTTAATTTCAAAGTCATGGTATGTCACAGCCAAGTGGTTATATCAGCCGTCCATTTGGGCAGCTAGCCCTTTAATAAAATCTGACTATTTGTGTTTGTCTATATGTTTAACAATGTATTTCTCGTACACCGACAATACACACTCACAATTTTTTCGAGGTCGATGTTCTTCACTGGTCCTCTTGCTACGTTGTAGAAAGTTGATTTTGTTTGACAAGTAAATTTTTTTATTTTTTTTATTTATTATTCTATTAGAAAGTTACAATTTTATTGCATGGACTTACATCTGCCAAAATAAAAGTGAATTTAGTAAATAAACTGTTCTCATTTTGTCCAGCCGCCCAATTGAACGGCTGATTTAACTAGTTGGCTGCAACATGTATATGGCACGTTCAATAGTAAATACAAAAGTAACTATAATTATGTATTTCCTTCCTATTTTTTTTTTCTATGTGTCTCTTTAAAATATATTCTCTTTAGCTATATTTTAATTTCTTTAGAAGTCGTATTTGGTATAAAACAGATTGGAACAACAACTGGAGTTTTCATTAAGTAAGTGCGTTATTATTCCTCTGTTTGTCCCAGTGACCGAACATGGCGGTATTTTTAAGTTTTTTTTGTTTTACAACCGGAATCTGTGATTGTCAATGTCACTGCTACCGGAAAGTGGTATCCGCTCTGGAAACCTGATCCGTTTGAACTTGGAGGCAGTCCAAATAATGGGAATAACAAAGGATCGATACTGACCTTGAGACATTGGAATTTTAGAATGTTCAAAATTTTTAGAAGGTTTGATATTTTGCTAACAAGGTAATAGGGAGGGAGACATACTGTTACTGCGGTAAATTTTAATTTGGCTTTCATAAATTCTAAGAAATTCTCGGAAAATTGTAAGACCACCTCCAAAGATTTTCCAAAAATTAATTAGAACAGTTTAGATGATATCTGATAAGAAAAAAAATTAGCTAAAACATGACCCAATGACCTTAAGTCTAGTTAAAAATAGGTCAATTGAAACATGACGATCCCTCAAGTAACATCTAAATAGTTATTACCAACTAAATAACTTAACGATAACAATATTCAAACTACTCATACATTTTGATGTTTGTTACTGATTGGAGTTTCTAATCACGTAGTTTGGAAGACGCACAACTAAAGTGAACTAATCAACGCTCTACTGACTTAGGGTCCGTAAATATAAACACTATGGTGTTTGTGTATCTGAGCAAAGAGTTTATCAGCCTAGTTTAAAACACATACAGAAAAAAAAACAAATATGTTTATTGCAGCACCGCTAAGCTTATATGTTAATTCTCTAGCAATAATTATAGATGAACTACTTGAGCTATTCTTAAAATTCTTTAATCTGTGTACGTAAAGCTATATGATACACGAGATAGAATATACTCGTAATTTACGCCAAAATCGCGAGGAAACATCTTTTTCAATACTTTTATTATTATACAATTATTGTTGCTAATTACTGTTTTCAATGAGATTATATCATGTTTTGTTTGAACTATATCTTAACATCACATCATCACATCACCAGCTCTTTTTACCAAAATTTTATTTACTTTTAAGTAATTAATTACCCCTAAAGGTTTCATAAGTTCAAAACCCATTAATCGAAAGTACTTAAAATATACAGCTGCCAGATATCATGTCATTTTCCATTGTTAGTCATACCGTAAACTTGCAGTTTTATTGCTGCAGTCTGAGTCCTAGCTCATTAGTGATGTGGCGTCGAGAATTAATTGAAATATCGATAGTTACTGCTATACTGTTGTAATTGCTTATCTATATCGACATAGATTACAACATGATCATAGTCATAAGTTACTTTTAGCTAACTATTAGTAAGTTATAGTTCATTGATCAATTTTGCATTCATAATGCTGGCTTTTATGAGTTTTGTTTGTTTTTATATTTAAATTAATATCATGAATATTGTAACATTTTTCTAGGTATTTTAGTTACTTCATTTTTATATATAACGTAAAAGTAGATTATAGTATTTTCAAAGTCGTCTTCATTCATCATTGTTTAATATTATCATTGGTACACATTATTTTTCACTTATACGATTTCAATAATTCTAATAATGGTTTATCGAGAATTACTCGTAAGTTTGAAATATAAATAAATACAACTATCGATATATTCCAAGCTTAATTATCGATAGTGAAATTATCGTGATAGCAACAGTACTTTGTCAGTTAAGTCATTTAGTGCTGATCTCTAGCTACCGTGCTTTAGTTGCGAGGCGAGGAGTATAAATCATAATTTGAATTGGAAATGTCTTAAATTTATAGTGATGATGCCTATACATAATTATGTATATTTGAGTAACTACATAGCATAACGAATTTCGCCTTGTCAATAATTAAGAACCAAGTGTGCGTGTGCGTGCGTATGCATGCGCATGCGTGCGTGTGCGTGCGTATGCGTACGTATGCGTGCGTGTGCATGTGTATCTATTTGTGTTTGTTATATTGCTGAATGGCAAAGTGATTAGTACGGTCGGACTGCAGTGTGCAAGGTAAGTAAAAAGGTTTCTGGTCATAAGATGCGTCTTTTCGTGCTACAGAAAGCTGGTAATGCTACTGCTCTCGGCTGCATCTACAGTCGTTAATAAAAGCCTTTTTTCTAGTATCGTCCTTAGCAATACATTTAGAAATTGATTTTGAAATATGTATAGATTGATTTGTATAAAATTTAATACAAGTTTTCATACTAGTATCGGCATACAGAATTAAATATTTACAACTGTTGTTACCATAGATACATATTATGAGCAGAAATGAAGATTTGATTTGATTTTGTAAACGTTTGTATGTAAATTGAAATTGCCTGCTATTCTCAAGAATATTCTACAGGAAGTTTCTAAGCGGGATGTGAACATCCTATCTCATATCCTTATTAAGCAATACTTTTGTTAAGGATCTACTTGTTATATGTTGTGGATATTTTAAGAGATTTCTGACCAACTAAGTAAAGAGTCACTATTAGTATTGTACCGCGAAAGCTCCTTTCAATATAGATGTAAAAATATTGTAATAGGTGTACATGTTTGAAGTATTTGCAGGATATTTACCATCGCAAGCCGACCTCTCTTAGCAGGGAAGTCTATATGAAGTACGGTCGATACAAAGTCCACAATGTACAATCTGACGTGAAGCCGTGTGTACATTTATTTTGAAAATAAATAATTAAATTAATTGAAACAAATATTTAAAGACGCTCCCATACAACAACCGTGGTATTTTTACCGTTTTTCATAGTTAATTAAATACAGATTTGTTTCAATTGTTTTAGACGTGGCAGATGTACAAGATACCGCTCAGGAGGCTCAACACGCGGTGCATCACAACTCTGCGCAAGATCGGCTCTGCCTCTCGCATCTCTCTCCGATCTTCAGCCATGCCCACCAATTCCCCAGGAAATCATGAAACCACCGAAACTGTGTTAATGGAAACGCCTATGACAGACTATAATGTACGATATTAAAGACACTGCGACTTTGTGATTTAAGCGACTAGTTTTAAGGTTTAGAGTTCTCTGTCATAACGTCTGCAAATATCTTTTGTATATATTGTCAGCACCCACCGATTGAAATTGTCTTTTAGAATAGAATTTCTATTTTGACACAGAAAAGTGACACAATTTATAGAACACTTTTCAAAACAGTGAAATTGTTTGTTAATTTATAGATGATTTTAAAAGTAGATTAAATGGAAATATGCGTATCGCTTTTCTAAGTCAATTCGAGTATGAAACGAAGGAGTCTGGTCAGTAAATACATTTGAGGAATAAAATGAATTGCTGCTATAATGCCATGTTCTCTTACTTTAATCCACCACGTATTTTGAGATTCAGTGGCACGAGCCTTATTACCAGTTGGTTTTGCCGATAAATTTTATAAATTAATCAAGTGCTTATTTGTGTCCTTGATATATAATTTTGAGCTATCACTGTTACCACAACATGACAGAAATAAAGATCATCAGAGAAGTCAACAAGTTCCACTTGCATTGGGACTTTCAGCTTGCCGCAAAGACCAATAAGCTACTAACGTAAATGAGCCCCTGAGTAAATCGACATTCTATTGAATTTCATAATGTAGTCGTTTTTTATTTACAATAGTGTAAGATATTACATTAAAGGGTAGAGGTATTTCTTACAATTTTCTATTAGCGTAATAAATAAAACTTTAAAACCGTATATTTCATTACATAATTGAAACGCCTACAGATTTAGCTAAAGCTGATCAGTTGCTCCAATAATAGTTTCATTGCGATCTTTGGTTCTATAAACGCGACGGAATCCCTAATTAGTTCTATAGCGATTTCGCCTTTTACCATTATCATTAATGTGGACTTCGGCGAAGAGGTGGGCGAATAAATGGACGTTTTCCAGGATAACCTATATTTTTCACAATTTCTTTTATACTGACATATGAACAAATCGCACTCTTTCTTTCTTAAAACTCGCCATCTTTTCTTTTTTTTTCTCTTTAATTCACACACCTTGCCTCTCTTTCATCCATCGTCTTACGTTCCATTTCCCACATTAATAACTCCCCGATTTCGTCATATATTTTTTTTAATTTATAAGAATTTTTGTACATACGCATATCACCATTATGAGTTAGTTACATATTTAAACCAATAATAATAGTATTCAAGGGTATTTTATATTTTGTTTGAATAAATATTCATCTGTCAAACATTCATAAACACATATGAGGCAGTCAATTTGTCATTTTTAATTGCCAGTTAATTTGTTTGTCCGTCAGGTAGAGTGTTAAAAAATATTAAATACGTATTTTTTATTTTTTTTTCATAATCATAAAATTACGGCGTTACATTGAGTTGAAATTTCGCATGACGTCACGTTAGGGTACGTTTTCTACTCAACTGTGACGTAGCGAGCCCCCACTCCTCAACTTTAATACCTGTTATCTAAGCCATTTCTTGTTAAATTGAAGTAAAAAAAATACGTATCTAATATTTTTCTATTATCTGACTGACGGACTAAATAGAATTGCATTTTTTTTTACCCAGTCATCATCCCTATTGTTTATATTTTTTTATTCAAATAAAAACAGATAAAGAGAAAAAGAGACATTTATGAAAATAGTTGTTATATTAACATAATAAAAGGGAGAATATATTAGTTTAAAACAATACGTTGTGCATATTTGAGTGTGAAATATAATTTCTAGAATTAATATGACAAATAAATAAATTTTCGTCATTGATTAGAATGTGCCGTAAAATTATCACCGTGTGATGGCTTAATATAAATTTAGCTAATAAAAATTAATAATTTATTTATTGATTTGAAATTGTGATGAAACAAAAAAAACCTGATAGATTATATCTTGTTAGTATTATATAAACGTGTATGATTCATTTTAGTTAGTAATCAGACATTTATTTGTTCATTATAATAAGCACTTAAAAATAAATTACTCATACAATTCTTTAAATAAATAATTTGTATTTAATATTATGTTCACTTTGTCCGATTGTTTTTATTTGTGTATTATGATGTAATAATGTAGAAATACACATTATTTTCAAATAAAAATCTTGTTTCAATATTTTGTACGGTGTTACGTGCGTTTTTAAGTTGCACATTTTTGTTATGAGTTCTTGCGTTAGAAAGTATTAACAGATTTTTTTAGAATCTTGAAAGTACTTTGCGTGACTAGGGTTGCTATCTGTCCGGATTTTTAAGTTATGTCCGGAAAAATATTGATATATCCGGCCTGTACGGCTTTTGTTTAACTTTTGAACTTTCGCGTTGCAATATATTAGATTGCATAAGACGGGTATTAACGAGATATATTTTGATAGTTAGGGTTTTCACCTGCCTAGCTTTTAGGTAGTGTGTCAGCGCAGATTGAGCAAGACAATGTGTTAAGGACGATATCGCGTTAGTATGTGTGATTAGTAAAGAGTAACCTGTGACACAGTTGTTATTATTACTATAGAGTTCATATCTTTAATAATAAAAAAATACTTAAAAAATTCACCAGTTCTAGGCAATTCGAGACCACATAATGTCGTTATCTGAGCGACTACTCTAACCATTGAGCTACTGCCCTATACCCTTTTTTGATAACGCAGGGGAAATGCATCTTAAGCCTCAAATGAGGACTCTCCAATCCCACCCTGAGAAGGGCAGGTGGTTGGCCTACCTAAAACCGCTACAGTTCACTTCACGTGGATGGATGAGTCCGGTATCTTGCAAGGAGGGTCCGGCTAACTGCCCTATACCCAAAAAGACTGACGAATTTCTTAGGAGTTATCAGGATGTTTTTGAAACCAATATAAGGTCGGCCCAAACAATATAATTTTGTGAATGAAAAATTGATCAAATATCATAATTAGAACATAATTAAAAACAAATTGAAATTTAATCAAGTATAAGTTTAAAAATAGTGTAATTTTTTTTTGGACTGTTTAGGTGTATTATCCAAACATAAATGAAAATACGTTCAATACTAGCCAAAGTAATAAAGAAATTCAGAAATTCGTCAGTCTCGTTGGTAACACAGGTACAAAAATACAGGTATAAAAGTGTAGATTGGTTAAAGGATATATTTTTTAGAGCAAACGTCCGGTCTAAAACAACTTAGATACAGACTATTATTTTAGCTGATGACAACCCTATGTGTGACGTGAAATGGGTCTTTTCAAACTCGCAGAACATCGGCTAAATGTACTCAATGAGATTTAACATTGTTCTTTGTTGGAATACTCAACTCGATAGCGGAAGTAATTTTTTATGCGCGACGAATTCAGTTCTTGGCCAAGTTGATTTTACCTATAAAAACTCGTGAAAATATTTGGTTGATTTATTTATGCAAGAGGCATAGGTACATCTTTGTTATACACGGATGAATAGGGAAAATGTTATATTTTAATGATAGTAAATAATTTACTTTACTTTTAACTTTGTTCTAGTAATATCACGTTATGTCTATTCTTCCCCAAATTATTATTAAAGTAAACCTCAATGAAGCAGTTTTTTTTTATAATTATAGGATCTTATCCATACTTTTGTTAAGAGGAAAGATTTTATTGTTTGTTTGCAATTAATAAGGCCCCAAAACTACTGGATCTATTTTCAAAATTCACCTACGGGAATCGCCATATGCAGGGAACATAGGCTATATTTTATCCCGAAAAACAGCAAATAAAGGGATAAAAATGGGACTGAAAATTTGTATGGGGAAATAAAATGTTACCATAGTAACCATTGTTTACTATTCATATTATCATTGTAATTATATCCGTGTCATGATATGAATCGATATTCAAATAAACAGTTCCCGGTACCTAACCGAACAGCCGAGAATCGAAGTAGATGGCGTGCAATTGGGGAGGCCTATGTCCAGCAGTGGACGAATATGGACTAATGATGAACCGGGTGAATCCTCTGGTGGAAAGTTAGTAATATGTAAAAATATGTTTAAAGTTTCAATCGGTACCTACTAATATTTAAAAAATGAAAGACTTAATGTTTGTTTGCATTGAATAGGTTCTGAAACTACTGAACTGATTTTAAACATTCTTTCACCCATGGGAAACTACATAATAGGCGGGTAACATTTGCTATTTTGACACGAGCAAAGTCGTGCGAAAATAGGTATTTTTAACCGTTATAATAAGCCGTTTAAGACTTCAGTATTTTGTATTTTAAAGAAACCTAAATTGTTTTTTTTTATTCAACTGTAGTATGTATACGTCTTTATTGTTCTACCGCGAGATATTAATTTATAAAATCATTCATATACATAATGTTTAAATGTTTTGTTTTATTTATTCATTTGTTATCCCAAATGAATAAATAAATCGAAAACGATTTGAAAACCACCATGACATATTTATGACAAACGATGAAATTCATTTTCCATATAGCCCATTTCGCATGGGTTTCCGTAAACATAAGCTTGTTCTATAACGTTTTAATGATTATGGAAATTTAATAAAACCTACGCGTTTCGGTAAAAAAGGAAATCTCTCCATAATCCGGGTAACTTTATGGAAGTGGAGAATTACTTTCTACTCGAGATTTGTACGAACCTGGACGGAACATGGGATAACCTGTTTATCTTGTAAGTTTTCAAATTGTACCGAGTTCACTTAGGCTCGGATCTGAGACCGCAAAAAAAAAAGTTGAGTCAGAGTTATTTTAATATTGCTACAACAAAACAATAACTGACATAAAAATATTCCAAGGTTTTTTCTTGAATCATCCTCAGCCCTTTTACGTCCCCACTGCAGGGGCTCACGCCTTCCTTATGGATGGCTAAGGAGTATGGGCCATGACCCTCCACGCTGATTATAGGGTATTAACGACTGCAAATGCAGCCGGGACCAAAGGCTTAACGTGCATTCCGAAGCACGAAGTTGCCCGAGATAATATTTTTTTTGTAACCCATCCCGTGACCGACCCTTGCGAAAGTTGCTTGACAACAACGATCGCGGGCCGTGGCGCTTATCCTCTACGCCACCGAGCTATACTCAAGGAAAAAGTATTCTTGAAAAAATAAAATAATTGTGTGGAGCTTGATGACGTAGGTCAGCGCATTCGGGCTGCAATACGGTTGTTAAGCAAGTTCCGTCTAGGATGTCCGATCTAGGATGAGTGACCAAAAAATTCATCACAAACTCCTCCATTAAGCAAGTTAAGCCGTTGGTCCCGGCTGCACCTGCGGTCTATAATACTCACCAACCCGCACTGTGCCCACGTGGGGGACATGACCTATTCTCCATATTTGATTAAAATACTGGTGATGATGATGAAATAATTTGTTAAAAAAGGAAAAGAATATAGTTCGTGTGTTAACTTTACCATAATGTGAACTACATAGTTTAATTGTAAGACAACGGTTGAACAAGAATTATGTGACAAACTTAGCCGGTGTGACAAAGATACGGGATATGAATAATTTCAGCGTTCTTGCATCTTTGTTGGCCAAGTTGAAACTTTCGAAGTACTCGTAATTCCATGGAATGTTCTAATCAGTTTCTGGAGAATGTTCCATCAACTTTATCAAAAGGAAAACTTTTTGAAAGGTAAAATAAAATGTATTTCTTTTAAAAGTCTTTTCAGTTGCTCTTTTTTCTCCTGGGTTTAAGTTCAATGTCCAGGTGAGATTTTTTTACTTTCAATATTTTTGAGATTTCATAATATTTGCTCAATGTTCAGATTAACATGAGAACTGGTAGCTAACTAACCGCGTTTAGATAGGGGCTGAGATCGAACCTACATTGTCATTAGTCATTATTAGTCACCATTGGTCTAGTTCAGAAGCTACCTGTCACTTTCTTCATGGTGGGATTCAAAAGACTACAATGCCATCTAGTCACGTGTAGCTGTAACATTAGCTCGCTGCATGTATTAGTTGTAAGATATTGCAATTGTTGTAAGAGCAATACCCACGTTGTCATAATATCAATTAGATTGATTAAGTTTTTATTATCTTCCGTAAGTACGAAGGTACTTCAACGAAACAGTGTTGTGTAGGTAAGATTACACACCATAATTTACTAGAACTATCTCAATTGTGTCTTCAAAGTTACAAGGGTTAATGTGATGATATTGTATATTTGATACGAGTTCAACAGATGCATATCTTCCCACAAAGGAAGAGCCTTAAGGGTTTAAGAGTTAAACTTGGCAAACTCTGAGACTTTGTAACCTCCTTGGAAGTTGCGAGGTCGAACGAAAGTTATCTGTTAACGCATCTCATTCATGTGAATTGCTTGGCGGTGAATATCTCATACATTTATAATACACCTTAAGTTATACGAGATAGAGTTTTTTTCGTTTCTTTTATTGATAAACTGATTGTGAACTTCATATGAAAGATAAACTTCTAACTTATGTATTTGTGTATAATTATGACCCGTTACACGACAGAACGGTGAGTAATAAGATGATGGAACAATCAATTATTATGTCTTTACTCTTTGATCGTTAGAAGATAAAAGAAGACTCTGAAAGACATAATTTTTATCCCTGAAATAATCTTTTAAAACTGTAAAAGAGAATAAGAGCTTTTTACATACAGCCTGAGACGTTTTCACGTCGAAACCATTAATATATTAATTATAATTTTATTTGAATAGAAAGGAAATTGTTCAAAACCCGGATAAAATAGGCTACTGTACGCTTAATATGACTCTCTAGAGTCTTTCGAGCTTCTCTCTATTGTTCTAATAGATTAGAACAATAGAGAGAAGCTCGATAGCGAGATATGCGTATGAAATATCACACTTTCTATTTCGCTCCCGCTCTTTTCTCGAGCTGCACGTATGTTTCCCGAGTTTTTCGAGTTCCTCCAATTTCGCGGGCTGACAGTACGATTTTCGCAAAGATAAAGTCGCGAGCAAAAGTTTGTAATTTTATACAGAAAGAAAATTTTCTTTTTGAAATCCTCGATAAAGAATTCGAGTTTTTCGCTACATATTTATCACTTAAACCTTTTTTCCGGATATTCGTGAGTTGTTGAACACAAAAGTACTTAATCTAAACAACTTGTTTACAACTCAATATTGTCGCCAATAACAGCCGTGAAAAGGGTCAACTTTACACGTTCAGTATT